ATGGGGGGCTAGGGGCTGCAGCAGAACTGAGTCCTGATTGGCTTGGACTTAGACGCGGTTCTCTCCGCCCACCCTGGTCCGCCGCAGCACTCTGGAAGACAAAGACAGGATGTGGTTTGTCCAAGGTTCTCTAAAGTGTGTGCGTCCCCGAGACCCGGCACACTCACCTCCTGTTTTGTGAGTCCATGTGGTCCAACAGAGCCTCCTGGGTCGCCCTGAAATCATCCATGGGAGACTGATAGCGAGATTCAAACGAGCCCTCCCTCCCTCTGTAGCCCAAGGCCTGAGCTGGAGACTGGGGCACAGGAGACATGCTGGAGGAGCTGGAGGACACCGAGCTCAGCTCCCCGAAACGCTCCCGCCCCACCTGGGCTGAGGCTGGTGCCGCTGTGGTCCCGGCAGCAAAGAATGGACTCATGACTTCACCGTTTTCATCCTGAAAGAACCAGGAGAGCTAACTCACAACATGCCACCCCACAGATTCTACTGAGTTGCATTACTGCTGACAGTAACAGATTACAGATTACTGCTGACAGTAACAGATTACAGATTACTGCTGACAGTAACAATACTACCTGCTCTGTATGGTTGTAGAGGAAGATGAAAAATGCAGGAAGTAAATTGATTGATTAGTACTAACAAAGAGACCTCACAGCTTTAACATATTACCTGGGTCAACTCAGCAATACATTAGTACCACTATAACTGGTGTGCAGTTAAACACACACACAATAAATGCTTATAAACACACACTTAATCCTCACTAAACTATTTCAGTCAATAATTGTAAAACTAAAATTATTTTTAGCCATTAATACCTAAAAAAGACATTTAAATTAAACCTTAATGACAACTAACTTGAATTTCAAAGTCAGCTTGAAGCTGTCCTCAAAGTGAGCATCTCCCTCGTTTCTCTACGTGTTTACCTCGAACAGCTGATGGACAGAMAGCAATGAGCTGCTGGACTGTCACCGCAGACCTCTCACCTTCCCATCGCTCTGAGCACATTTCTACTCCAGTCTTTTCAGTCAAGACTCAAACAGACCGAGCTGAAGTGACAGTAGGGTCCAGACACCGAGGATACTCAACCAAAACAATAAAGATGTTCTAATATCAAAACACTGCTAAATATTATAAAAACTCCTTAAATGTCACATTCATTAGGCTGATTTAATAAATCTGGACCCTTTTCAACTGCTGCACATTTTGCACCCTTTCATACAATACCTACTTCTACAGCTACACATCTATAAACATATACACATTAACTCATACAATTATTACACAGAACACACTTACACACCAAGCAACAAAGCATCACAAAGAGAGCGAGCATGGAAAGAGGAAAACTATACACATCCACTCTGCTATCCCACATCAAACATTCATAGATGAGAAAGAACAGTAGTATTAGTGCTTCTTCATCTGCTAACACTTTCATATTCTTCTGGTTTTTTGTTTCTTACTAGCAGGAAAAGAACAGTCTCGGGTCAGAACAGTAACCTACCCTGCCTCTCACCACATCTATGTGGACCAAAAGAGAAGCCAACTCCAGGTCTTCGTTGAAGCTGTTTTTCAGAGGGACTGACCGGTAGCCTGGAACAAAACAAAGACCCGTCAAATAAAGTTATTCTGTTTTATGCAGACACCATGCTCCAACACCTACCTGTCTTCAGGCCCTGAATGGGGAATGTGGCCTGAGCCAGAAAGTTCTGGTCGTTGAACATGTCGATTTCATAAACCCCAAACCGCAGGAAAGCAAATGCCGAGTTGCACACGACGAACTGGTACGACTTTTTTGGCCACGTGGGATTAAGACCATTATTAGCTGGAGAGGACAAAAGTGCCATTTTGTTATTCATAACTGTTTAATGGAAATAAGCTGAAATAAAACCAGATTGTGAACCTCGTCCCAGAAAAACTAAAATATACATGATCCAAACAACGGAGTGTTTGTCACAAGGCTTCATTCTTGTTAGAGTAAAACGTGACCCATGTTTTTGCTTTTGTTTTTCCAAAAGGCGGCTTTAGTTGTTTGTACAACTTCCTGTTTTTCCGGGTCCAGAAGGGAAATGACACAAAAGCAATGTATCCAGTAAACAACACGTTGACACAGTTTGGGACAGTACCGTTGCTCTGGATCAGAAACTTGTAGTGAGAGTGCTTACGTTCTGAGTCCGTTTTTTGCTTGGCATTATCGTACTCTGCTCCACACACTTCAATCTCGATGAGCGGGCAAACGATGCCTCGGCCGTGCTTAGGCAAGTGCCGTGCACCCAAAACCTTCAGAAGACAGACAGAACAAGTTTCAATTTAAAAAATAACACTTCATTTTAGTGAACTTATAAAGGCAGATGTACTGTAATGTTCCTGTTTACTCAATCTTCTGCTTCTTTTTAACTTTAAACTTGTGTATTTTGACATTTTGCTTCTTTAAAACTCTTTATAATGCTCCATGGAAGCACATAATGACACGTATGTTCATAAATAAGGTGAAAGTAAATTGAGTAACGTGTGTTAAATATGTCAAATAGRTTGGTGCTGTTACTAATTACTGCCATGAACAGACGAGGAAAACTACAATCAGGAACTATTTATTCGGAATTTGTCTCTGCATCGTTCACTCTTCAACTTTTCATCAGAAAAGCTGTCCTGACAAACCGCAACCTTCCAATCCTGCCCACACAATCCACCTGTATCATACCTCTATCATCAGAGTGACTTGATCGACTCCTCGTAGTGTTTGTCTGTCGAACGGGTCGAAGGTGTCGTCCCTCATGATGGGAGGCTGAAGGATGTAGCCGCTCCGTCCGTTCAGCATGAACAGAGCCTGGTTCATCTGCATGGGCTTGTCTGCGTGGACATTTTCACAAAGTATGTCAAGAATGAAAAGATCTGCAGTTCGTGCAGCTTTTTTTCCCTCCCGCTCTGTGAAGAGGTTTCATACCTGCTGTCTGGAAGTTAAGTGCGACCAGCTGGGAGCCACAGAGCCACATGGGGAGCGGGTCGTAGTTGGAGGAGTCTAGTCGTTGGCCTCTGGGGTAGATCCTTGACAGCTGCAGCCGGTTGTACTGCAGGAACCTCTTCCCCTTGATTTTGTTGACATACTTCTCTGCTTTGGTCTCGGGGAATGAAGACATGTCACGGAAGCAGGCCCGCTCTGTGCCGATCTCTACAACAGGAAAAAAAAAATTACCCTTCTGCCTGTGTCAGATTTATCCCCGAGTTAAATTAAAACACTAATTTAAAGTTGATCAAACAGCAGGGAGTGTGTCCAGTGCTTACTGTCTTCATCAAACGGTACAGGCCTGCAGTAAACAACTAGATCTGATAACTCCAGTGCGATCTTCTTCCTCCTCTCCATCATCTTCCCCTCCTCCAGCTGGACATTAAAGACACAAAAGGAACCACGTCAGAACTAACACCATTTCACCGACTGACGCCAGACCTGCCTGTGAACATTCTGCACCGTGAGAAGGTTATGAGTGCATTTCTTATCGAGCACGAATGTAAAAACGTACCTTGGCCTCTGAGGTCATGGCCACTTCGCGGATCTTTGACACCCACTGATTCAGCTCCTCTTGGTTGGAGGCAGCCACGTCCAGAACCTGACGTGTGCCGCTGTTTGACACCAGGGAGAAGACGTGAGCTCTGCTGCCTTTCCCTTCAGGACGTATAACTGAGAAGAAGCACAAAAAATAAATAAATAAAACAGCCAACAAGGACAGAATCCTTGATTTAACTTCTTTATTCWTTCCACTTTGTTTCATAATTAACTATACAGTTAAACGAGGTAAAAATGTATGAAGTCTCAGACTCTGTCTCTAAGCCTAAGCAGCTGCAACAAACTACAAAGCAAGCATCACTTTATCAGAAAACTGTGGCTGGTGAAGCTGGTTTTACTCAAGATAAAAGGATTAAAAAGAATACAAATGTAATTTCCAATCCAACCACTAGATGGTGCACTTTAGCCACTGAATAGTAAAAACAAGACTTCTGCATGTGTTTAGAAAGAACAACATTGCACAATATTAACATTCATGTGCTTTACACAGTTCTAAATCAATTTTGAACCAGAAAATCTGATTGCTAATGTCAAATACTGCAAGTCCAAACATTTCACACAGCTAAATGAATATAAAAACCAACAATATTTGATTTTAACGACTTAACGTCTCAATTGGTTCAACCACAAATTTTTTTAAAAAAATCTAGTCGTGTTTCTTTGGATAGCACATATTTAACTTTTCCAGTACAGCTGTTCAATAACTGATGTTGAAAAGGATAAAGCTCCAGCTATCAGAATGCTGCACAAAGCTGCAGTAAAATCAAAATGTGTGAATATTATCATTTGAATTTGCACACTTTACTTGACTAAAACAAATCAGATAATTTATTTTAATCAAGGTTTAATCGTTACTGACAGATTTTCTTAATTATTTTTCTTTCCTTCCTCCTCATCATCAAGAAAAAAAAACTCTACATTGGCTCTCAGCGTCTTCGGTCCTTTTGATCCTGCTCCTCAAACTTCTGTCAAGCTTTAAAGAAAACCAACTTGTCAACTTAAAGGAATGATGCCGACATAGTTTTAACAGTGGAAAAGTCAATGATCACTACATTTTTTTGCAGAAGGGTAAATGTGCATGTCTGTCAGCCTAAACTGGGGCTCAATGTCGAGGTAACAGGTTGCACTGCAGCCCTGCAACAGAGTCTGACAGGAAGTGGAGGGGCTACTCACCAATCTGACAGGAAGGCACATCCACACTTCCTCTCAACAGATCTCCAAGCGGGCTGTTTTCTGTCACCTCCTGTGTGAAAAAGCAAAAAAAACATTTAAAAAAAAAAAAGCTTACACCCCCTAATCAAACCTTTATCTTGATTTAAAAGTCATGTAAAGCATCCAGTCAGCGAGTCTAATCAACATATTCATGGGTTTGATCCTCACAGATCTGTCAGGCTCTTGTGCTCCTTGGCTGATCTCCTCCACATAGTTGGCAGGAAACCACATCTGCTTCTTTCCTCCGCAGTCACCTTTCCACCTGTGTCAAAGAGTTTAAAGAAAATGACTTGAGAGCAGAGGCATTTCATGCTTTCGATACGTTCAAAGCATCCAACACTGCAGCCTCATTCAGCAGACAGCCCTGGCCTTTCTCCTTCGAGACTAAATTCTCAGTCTAAATGGAATAACAGCTTCCTGTGCTCGCTCACCATCCTCCTTCCTGTTTGTCTACATTGGTGATGATGGCGTTCTTGGTGAAGGAGAGCTCATCGTCTCTCTGAGCTCTGTACTCGTACATGGCTCGCACCGTACACTGAAGGGGTGACAGAGGGTTACGGTTGCAATATTCGCACTACAACATGTAGATTTCTCCATTTTGAACCCTCACCTTTAAGGTTGGCATTTGATTAGCCTCAACGTAAAAGCCAGGGTTTCGGCCCTCGTACAGCGACCCGTAATCTGGTTCCTGTTGAACAACACACACTGTGTTAACGAGTTTCTGACTGAATTATTAACGGATTACATTGTCACTTTTTTTCTGATAATCATGGTGTCAACAGCAGGGTGGAACTCACAGCAGTGCCGATCTTCTCCAGCGTGTCCTCATTAATGGGATAGCGCAGTTTCATCTTGCGATACAGGGGGTGATGTTCGTAGTAGCTGATGAGATCTACTAAGCTGTCAAACTCAGAGGTGCCCAGCACCACAGTCTGACCTTCTTGCTGCACTCGACAGTGCTTGATCTTACCCTCAGCCCTGTTTAAATAAGAATAAGAATAATAAGAATAAGAAACCTAAATGTGATACATTCTGTAGGTCTTTGGGATTTTTATTGACTCAAACAATGATCACTTACTGAACCAGTGGGCTTGAGTTACCTGAATGAAATGGCAAAGGAGTTGGGTTCAGCTCGCTTCCTGACGAGGAAAGCACCGTCACGAGGAACCCTCATCAGCATGTTCTCTGCCTGGCTCCTCGACAGGTTGGCATGGTACCACCTAAAGTAAACAAACAAAAACAGATAGAAACTCAGCGCCATCTGTTACGAAAATAAATTATTTCCTGCATGGATATTTATAGTAAAAGTTATAATTTGTATTTAGAGTTTAATAAAAACTGCAAAGAGAAACAGATTTAGATATTAAATACTTTAGCTTTGTAGACTCACTCTTTGCTCTCGTGGGCGTTGGTCTGAGGCACCGGCTCTGTCAGCTTCATCTCAAACTCGTTACAGCGCAGCGCCACCAGCTGGTAGTGGCAGATCAGGGCGAAGAGTGAGTCGAACACCAGGTTGTCTGTCAGGTAGAACTTGGGGCTGCCGGCCTCTTGGCGAGAGTGGATACGGCAGTGTTGCACCCGACCAGAACGCCTGCAACAGAGGCCAGGCAGAATGGAAACAGACAGGAAGTGAGAGAGAATTTCACCAACATTAGATCAAAGCTGGGTCCAGGCTGAGTACAAGAACATTTCCATACCATCCTGCTGGTTAACCTTTCACATTTCACTCTTGTACCGTCTGTGCACTGGTTTTATAGGTTGTATGCAAATCATTTCCACACAAATTAATTACTTGTGAAGTCTTTGCACTGGATTAGGTTAATCAGAAAGCTGCTGACAACAAGTGAAACTTCGACCACAGACACAGGTGCAGAGACTGACATTGATCTGCTGATGTGTCACTGTTTACTAACATTTATCTCACACAACACATGTTGATCCATAGCACACACACACAAACACACACAGCAATCCATTTACCAAATTATATTTTAAAATGGTTAAGTAATTACAGAGTAAATACAGCCTCTTTAAATTAAGAGGTCTTTCATTTCAGACATTTGGACAAATAATCATCTGACCTTTACATGGTGGAAGTCAGTGGTTCCCAACCTGGGGGCTATAACCTTGTCTGCTCAGAGATTGTAAAAATATCTATTTATTTTAATAATTAAAGCTCTGCATAAGTAACTACCCAAAAATGTTCAAAATTAAGCTTTTAACCATTTACTTTTATTTTGAAAAAAGACAATGCGTCTCTGGGGAATTGTGGGGAGTAGCCAGGGGTTGGAAATAAAGGGCGGCTTTGAGGAAAGTACACAGTCAGCCACAGATTTAAGTATTAAGACATTACAATTGTAAATGAAAAACAGAATATTCCTGTTGTCTCATTTTATAAAAGCTAAATGTAAATGCAGCAAGTGGCAAATTAAATACACGTCGTAATTCAATAGTTTCCAAAAGCACCACTGCTTTCAGTTTGGCTGTGTGGACAGATTTAGACCCACTGTTCTTTACAGACATTAATTCATGGTATCGATTTTTTCTGCCTCAGCATTTCAGTCAGTTGGAGTTCTGGACTTTGAGACATTGCAACACCTTTATTTTTCTCTTGAGGCATTTTTTTTTTGCTCCTGTGTTTGTCCTGTTTCAGACACTCTCATGTTTGACACTACAGGTTGCACTTTGACATCAAGAACGTTTATGGTTGATTTAAAACATTTACTTTACTTCACTTTACTGTACTTTTTCCTTCAAATGGTCCAATAAACAGCTGAAAATTCTGTTATCTGTTGAGAAAGTTTTAGGACAACCTGACTGCAAACCCTACCAGAAAGACAGAGTGTAATCTCCGACAAAGGTTTCACTCTCCCGAACCAGGAAGGAGCCATCAGGAGCTCCAGTCTCCTGGCAGTAATCTGACAGCAGCCGCTCAGCGATCTGCCGTCCATCCCGCCCAGCACCTAGCTTCCCGTGGAACCATTTCTCTGTCACGTGCTGGTCCATGGCATTGGACACCTGGAGAGATGAAAAGAAATACATGTGTTACAACATTTATTTATCAGACTCTCAAAAGGATAAACATGAATTGATTTCATTGTTAAACTCAGTTACTACAAATTAAACAAAGTGCCCTGTTGTACTAGCCTCTCTGTGTTCTTCTTCGTCCTCGTTACCCTGGTTACTGGAGGTCTCCTCTGAGTAGTAGATGGTACTGCTCGTCAGGACGAAGAAGTGAGGGTACCACTCCTGTGGAGAAGTAGGAAAAAGGTGGTTTGTAGGGTTGGGAGACATTGGCAAACGTGACAATTGTTGCATTTAGCTGATAACGATTAATAGATGACAATTACACCTGCATATTTTTCTACTCAATTTCAGTTATCCTGTCTTTTAAATTATAATTCCAATCATTGCAACATGGCAAAATATAACTGTTGATATTTTCTCTAACAATTAATTGCACATTATATGCTACTGCCCAACCATAGTGGTTTGTTTAATAACGGCAACAAAATGAGTAAGCTGAACGGTAGGGATGCAACAAGATTTGCTCAAAATGATCAAATACCACAAATACTATGAGCATCTACTTTCAAGTAATTAATTTCAGCTTTAATAATCTTTTATGCAGCAATATTGATATATGGAGTATACTTACATGGTTAATGGGATCTTCCAGGTATAAGATGCCGTTTTTGATGGAGTTGCTAATATCATTCTCTGAGTAAGGTGTGGAAGTGGACACTTCTTCATAAGCGCTACCCTCTGCCAGCTTTTTATGCTAAACGAGAAGATTAAATAGAGTCAGGAATATTATCCTGTCAATAACAAAAAATAAATAAATAAAAAAACAGATGTTTTTTGTGACTGCAGGTAAACCCAGACCTTGATGAGAATCTTCCTCTTGAGCTGATTGGGTGAGGGCAGGCTGTCTGCTGCCACATCCACCGTCTTGGTCAGCAGCATGTCTCCAAACATCCTCTTAAACTGCGTGGCCATGTTCCTCTGCTGAACGATACTACAGTGGTCCTCGATGGACAGGATGATGGGGTAGCTGAAGACAAAACATAAACTGGTGCTTGAAAAGCTGCAGCTTTTAAAAATTCTCTCAGCCTTTGGTTCAGTTTGGTTATACACTCACCGGCCACTTTATTAGGTACACCTGTCCAACTGCTCGTTAACACTTAATTTCTAATCAGCCAATCACATGGCGGCAACTCAGTGATTTAGGCATGTAGACATGGTCAAGACAATCTCCTGCAGTTCAAACCGAGCATCAGTATGGGGAAGAAAGGTGATTTGAGTGCCTTTGAACGTGGCATGGTTGTTGGTGCCAGAAGGGCTGGTCTGAGTATTTCAGAAACTGCTGATCTACTGGGATTTTCACGCACAACCATCTCTAGGGTTTACAGAGAATGGTCCGAAAAAGAAAAAACATCCAGTGAGCGGCAGTCCTGTGGGCGGAAATGCCTTGTTGATGCCAAAGGTCAGAGGAGAATGGGCAGACTGGTTCGAGCTGATAGAAAGGCAACAGTGACTCAAATAACCACCCGTTACAACCAAGGTAGGCAGAAGAGCATCTCTGAACGCACAGTACGTCGAACCTTGAGGCAGATGGGCTTCAGCAGCAGAAGACCACACCGGGTGCCACTCCTTTCAGCTAAGAACAGGAAACTGAGGCTACAATTTGCACAAGCTCATCGAAATTGGACAAGAGAAGATTGAAAAAACGTTGCCTGATCTGATGAGTCTCGATTTCTGCTGCGACATTCGGATGGTAGGGTCAGAATTTGGCGTCAACAACATGAAAGCATGGATCCATCCTGCCTTGTATCAACGGTTCAGGCTGGTGGTGGTGGTGTCATGGTGTGGGGAATCTTTTCTTGGCACTCTTTGGGCCMCTTGGTACCAATTGAGCATYGTTGCAACGCCACAGCCTACCTGAGTATTGTTGCTGACCATGTCCATCCCTTTATGACCACAATGTACCCAACATCTGATGGCTACTTTCAGCAGGATAATGCGCCATGTCATAAAGCTGGAATCATCTCAGACTGGTTTCTTGAACATGACAATGAGTTCACTGTACTCAAATGGCCTCCACAGTCACCAGATCTCAATCCAATAGAGCATCTTTGGGATGTGGTGGAACGGGAGATTCGCATCATGGATGTGCAGCCGACAAATCTGCGGCAACTGTGTGTTGCCATCATGTCAATATGGACCAAAATCTCTGAGGAATGCTTCCAGCACCTTTTTGAATCTATGCCACGAAGAATTGAGGCAGTTCTGAAGGCAAAAGGGGGTCCAACCCGTTACTAGCRTGGTGTACCTAATAAAGTGGCCGGTGAGTGTAATGCTGCCTCACAGACATAAGGATGCAGTCAGTTCACATTCTCTTTGTGTGAAATCTTTGTTATTCCCTACCTCTTTTTCTCACCACCAATAGCAACAACAACAACAACAAAAAAAAAAAAAGAATCTGAAGTCAGAGACTCACTCAGAAGTAACAAAAGCGTGCTCTTTAATGGTGGTCAGGACATCCATAAACTTGATTTTTGATGTGAGGGTGTGTCCGTGATAAATGACCGGCATTCCATCTGGACCGTCCCAGCAGTCCACTGCAAATAAAACAAGGCATGCGACATCTTAACTTGCATTCTGCAGAAATAAAAACAACAAAACTCAGTGATCATACAGGAATGTCCAGTCATCACAGTGTGACAATCCAGTCACGCACAAGTTATGCCATCCTGTTTGATTTTTGTCTCAGGTAAAATTTTTAGAGGAGGAACAATTCATGAAAACCTGCTCAACAAGGGTTTCATGTATTCATGAGACTTTTGTTGTGTGTCTGTGAGGTTGCAGTGGTTTTATTAAAAGCAGCAATCCTTTTAAAACATTAAGATTAGACAGTGGTTGTTTACTGTGTGTGGTTTCATGTTAAAGCCTACATTTGTGTGCGTTTACTCACATTCTATACAGCGACACCCCATCCTTAGACAGCGAGCATACGCCTCCAGGGACGACTCACTGGAAAACTGGTCTCCTGTCAGGTAGCTGAAAATAAACAACCGACATTACAGCGAGTACACAACGCTTGTTCTTATAATGACAGACTCAAAAGGATTTACACGTCGAGGACGTCACCACAAGCACGCACGCAAGGTGTCTTTGTTCTTGTGTCAAACAAACTTGCACTGCTAAATCACAGAGGGCTTTTTCCTTTGTTGATAGTGAGTAGTTCAGTTAGATAACTCAAACTAAATCAAAAGCAGCACGGGATATTTTAGCTCACTGCACAAACAAGTTATTGTTTCACATGTAGCACAAAAGATTTTCATTTGAACTACCTCTCTCACACTTTTCAGTGGCAGGGAAAAAAAGCATTTTCTTACAGAATGATTACACAACTCTTGTTCTTGAACATATGGTTAAATTATATCTTTTTTATCTGATGTACAAAGTCAGTTCACTAGCCTTGTTAGAGTAGAGAAAGATGCCAGACGTCAGCATTCCCAGGACCAGATTACAATCGGCAGACCAAAACTGTTAGCGTTAAATGCCCTCGGTCCTGCTATTCTTACGTGTTGTGCGAAGAGGAGATCCAGTAGTGAGACAGGGGGTTGTTCATATTCTCGGGACATACTTGGTCCAAGGAGGAATCCCAAATGGTGTTTTCTTTGGAGAAGAGGTATGTGAGGAACTACCCGGGAGAAAGAAGAGCAGTAAGAATGTTAAAATGTACAAATTCCCAGGTAAAATTTCTAAAAACAAATTTATATTTCATTTAATTATTTTAAATCTTAAACATGTACCATGAAAGCACAAGGAAGGGGTGAGGATTTGTGTGTGTTTGGTTTTTGTTACTCATTTTAGTTTAGGCTAGGTTTAGTGTTAGTTATGTACTAGGGGTGGCTAGGTTTAGTGTAAGGCCACAGAAACAAATAAAAGGTCAATACACAGTCGATACACAGTAAAGAATAAATATTTCCTTTTAACTCTTAAGTGTTTGTAGAAGAATGGATACATGTATATCTCTATTTACACAAGCAGAAGTTGTGCAGAATTTTACACTGTTGCCTCAGAGGAAAATGTTCCTGGTGTAAATCTTAGCTGGGACTTTTCTGTGAGTCTGCATGTTCTCCGTGTGCGTCGGCAGCTTTGTGCTTCACTTTCTTACACATCTTCAAAACATGCATGCTTGTGTCTCTGGTAGCCTTGTGATGGACAAGGTCTTCCTCTAACACAGTGGAAAATGTAATACACTACAGATGTAATAAAGTCTTTTATTAGCTGCACTTTTCAAACAAAAATCACTGACTTGTAGTTTAGTAAATCTGCTGAAGAGCCAAAAGCCATCTGGTACTATCGAACACTGAGACACACACACAAAAAAAGCTATCGTCTCCTGCAGTCTGGGTCGCACCAGTGACCACAAAAGCATCCCGTTTTCTGCAGAACTATGATGCGGCATCACAGTAAATAACATTTTCAAACTGTGTGGGACAAGTGTTTTTAGCCACAATCATTAAGTATCCGTCAGTGTTTGAGAATCTCCCACCCACACTAACAGCACAGACAGGGGGGCTTTGGAAACTTGACTTGCAAAAACCTATTTAAATGTTTCCATTACAAAGCAAACCCCCAGAATTAAGTTAAGATTTTTTTTTTGTTACAAAATAGGGAAATAAAGTGTGTACTTCATCTTGTTGAAAATACGGCTGCTCCACTTCTCTCAGGGGATCCTTCAGGTAGCCAAACATAAACTCCTGAACCTTGTTGTTGTCCACGGCCCACAGCTCCTTTATTAACCAAAAAAAAAAAAGGGGGTTTAAAAAATGTAATTAAATAAATAACAACAACCAAAAGAATTTTACCTTTTGAGACTCGATGAGGAAGTTCTTAAAGTCCTCCAGGGAGATCCTCTCCTCTGGTTTATCAGTAAACCTGATAAAAGCACAGAGAAGTTCATTTCTTTAGATAAACATCTGACAAGCCAAAAAAAAAATCATCTCCACATTTTATTTCTACCCACCTTTGAAGAAATAAAATGTCCATCTGAAAAGATCAAATAAAAGAAACATTTTAGTTAYAGCCTTGTACTTTTACTGTGTGATGCTCATGTAGAGGAGACTTCCTGGAGGTGGGAGCGAGGCCACTGAGGTCATTCATTTAATACAACCTGAGCCAGAATGTGTGTGTGTGTGTGTGTGTGTGTGTGTGTGTGTGTGTGTGTGTGTGTGTGTGTGTGTGTGTGTGT